GGGCCGCTGCGCCGGCGAGGAGCTGCAGAGGCGTCAGCAGGGCGGTGGGGACTGGTTCAGAAACCCAGGGGCTGGCAGGGTCTCACCGTGGAGGCCTGCCCAGTGCGAGACTCATCCGCCTGGGACGTGCGTTTCCAGCACGCGGTGTAGCCTTGACTGGCACAGCTCCTGGGGGATTTGCTTTTTCGCACGCTCTGAGGGAAGCCACAGGTTAATTCAAAATCGTGCTGCGTTCCGCACTTTCACTTCGGTTTAACCAGAAGCCATGGACAGTCTGTCAAGGTTGTTTCTGTTTCCTTCGACTGTTCATATTTATCTGCCTTCCAAACTAACGTCCAAACGCATGGTCACCGTTCTGGAACACAGACAGATACGTGCATACTCTGCCTCTCTCCTTTCATCTCCTTGCAAATTTACAGAATCACAGACTCACAGAATGGCAGGGGTTGGAAGGGACCTCTGGGGATCATCTAGTCCAACCCCCCTGCCGCCACAGGGCGACCCAAGGACAGGCGGGCACCTTGTCCAGGCAGGTCTGGAATATCTCCAGAGAAGGAGACTCCACAACCTCCCTGGGCAGCCTGTTCCAGTGCTCCGTCACCCTCAGAGGGAAGAAGTTCTTCCTCATGTTCAGACGGAACTTCCTGTGCTTCAGTTTGTGCCCATTGCCCCTTGTCCTGTCGCTGGGCACTACTGAAAAGAGTCTGGCCCCATCCTCCTGACACCCACCCTTGAGATATTTGTAAGCATTTATTAGGTCTCCTCTCAGCCTTCTCTTCTTCAGGCTGAACAAGCGCAGCTCCCTCAGCCTTTCCTCGTAGGAGAGATGCTCCAGTACCCTCCTCATCCTCATAGCCCTCTGCTGGACTCTCTCCAGCAGCTCCTCATCTTTCTTGAACTGGGGAGCCCAGAACTGTGAGTCTTGTGTCACTGCCTTTACACATTCCCTGTGGCGGAAGCGTAGTGAGTTCGAAGGTGAGTACTTTGCACGCATTTGAAGATATTAAGAAGCGAGACAGAAATTTAATAAAAGGACTTGAGAATGTGTACATCACTGTATCTACAGAAAAGTAATCACACAGATTTTTCTGCTGCTAAGACTGGAGGTACTCTACACGCTCTGCCTTTTGGCAGCAGTATGTTGCTCACATTCTTAACGTACAACTTGAGTCTAATAATTGACTGATACTTTATGATTACACTCGAGCACTTTTTTTTAAAAAAAAAGCCTGTCCCTTTTTGTATTGGATAATACTTCTGTGCTACTCTGAAAGAGGTGTTTTAGGGACAGGGAAAGCAAAGGTTTGAAAAAGAACACAAAAACCCCACAATTTCATACTTAATCTTTCCATAGGTAATCTGTCTTCTAGTAATTATGAGTGGCAGAAATTTCTGGCTGAAAGAAAGGGTTTATTTCTAAGTTGGACAAGCAAAAATAATGGAATGAAACTTATATTTGAACTGTCTTAATTTATGCTGATGTAAAACTTTTTGTTTAATTACCCCTCAATATCAAGTATCTTTGTTTTTTTTCCCTTGAAACAGAAAATTAAAAGAAATACTATAGAGGCACTATAGTCTCTTTGGTAAATAAATGGACTGCAGAAATGTATCACTGCTCAGTGTATTTATAGAAGTACAATTTGACTTCTTTTTTTGTCGGAAATGTAGCATTCTGTTTTGGTTCCTTGTAGAAAGAGGATAGCTTTCATTTTATTTGCTGCATCAACACTTAAATGACATTGTTGGAAAAATGTTTCATCCACCATTCTGCAGAATCACTTGAACTAACTACAGTTTTGTAAGTAGTAAATGACTTACTCTTAAGTGAGAGCTGAGTATTTAAATTCTTCACATGACTTTTTGCAGTGCCTGGACATTATTTGGAGCAAAACAGAGACACGTCTTTGGCTCAAGCAGGTGTTAACTTACTATTTGACGATCACTAGCAAAGGCACTTTGTTGCTATGTAAACATTTATTATAGCTCATGTGATGTTTCTTTATACTTTTATTGTAGGTAGTAGTCAGAAACAACGTACAATTTGAGCAGTGATCTTTAGTCTCTTTTTGTCAGCAGCGTTAGCACATTGTTCTTCAAAAGATCACTAGGAGATGGAAGGAGTGACAAACACAGGTTACTCATCAACTTGGGGGAAGTCGTTTTATTTACTGGACTTGAGAACATTAGTGTGGTATTTCAAAAAAGGTTTATGTATTTTGATTTATTGTGCTTTGGACAAATTATATTAAAACATTGGCAGTATAAATATATAAAATAACTATGGACTTTAATGTAGCTTCACTGGATTTTTGTAGATGAAAAATTAGATAGGAGCTGGCAATATGTGCTCACAGTCCAGAAGGCCAGCTGCACCCTGGGCTGCATAAAAAGTAGCGTGGCCAGCGGGTTGAGGGAGGGGATTCTGCCCCTCTGCTCTGCTCTGGTGAGACCTCACCTGGAGTCCTGCGCCCAGCTCTGGAGCCCTCAGCACAGGAAGGACATGGACCTGTTGGAGCGGGGCCAGAGGAGGGCAACAAAGATGATCTGAGGGCTGCAACACCTCTGCTATGAGGAAAGGCTGAGAGAGTTGGGGCTGTTCAGCCTGGAGAAGAGAAGGCTGCGGGGAGACCTTATGGTGGCTTTCTAGTACTTAAAGGGGACTTGTAAGAAAGATGGGGACAATCTTTTTAGCAGGGCTTTTTGCGATAGGACAAGGGATAATGGTTTTAAAGTAAAAGAGGGTAGATTTAGACGGAATATAAGGAAGAAATTCTTTACGATGAGAGTGATGAGACACTGGAACAGATTGCCCAGAGAAGATGTGAATGCCCCCTCCTCGGAAGTGTTCCCAGGTCAGGTTGAAAGGGGCTTTAAGCAACCTGATCTAGTGGAAGGTGTCCCTGCCCAAGGCAGGGGGATTTGAACTAGATGATCTGTGAAGTTCCCTTCTAACCCAAACCATTCTATGCTTCTGTGGTTTAAAAAAGTGATCAGACTACTTCCTGTATGTTTAAAACATTGATATAAATTTATGCTTGTCAGTGCTATATGATATTATAATCATTAGAAAAACAGATGTGTCAAGAAGTGCAAATAATAACATCCATGTGAGTGATTTGAAAACATATGGAGGTACAGGAAATAGTCGTGGAAGAGACCTAAAACAGACTATGCTGGTGGTACTTGTATCCCCACTTTTATTCTGTTTTATTCACAATCTGTTTTCCATGGATTTTATATTTATTATATGTGACTGTTTTCTTTATCACATTACCTTCTGAGGGAAGTCAGGTAATTTCAATTAGCTAAGGTGCATAAAGAGAGCTTCTGTGCGAAGTGTCATGTAAGAAGCTCATTGTTTTGTTGTGTCACCTCTATAGCACTCTTCAGTTTTTAAAATGTTGTGTCCTAGAATAAATTTTGCCTTGGCACCTCCAATTTGAGAATGGTTATATACTGATTTTTAAATCTCCCTCTGTCCATAACTGTATTTGATTAAAAAAAAAAATGCACTCATAACTCGAATGCACTCCCAGTGCCTTGTGGGTGTGTACCCCATGGACTTTTTCAACTGCTGGTGAAAGTTTATTTATTTGTCATTGGCAGGCATTCTCTTTTCAGTAGCAGAAAATACAGGTAGCTAAAACAATGTGGGGGGAAGGACTTGTTTGAAGGCTTTCGGATTGAAGCAATAATAGCTGGGCAATCACATTTTCTAGATATATAAGCATCTCACTTTGAGCATTGCTAGAAAGAATATTGAATAGTACCTTCAAAAACTAGACAGGTTACTTGCATACTTCCCTTCTCTGGTATGTATCTGTCACATCTAGACCATTTGTTCTGGTGAATCCATTCTGGCATTTAAGTAATGGAGGCTGGGGTTTTCTGGGCTGGCTTGTAAATAGCCCTGATTTCCTCTGAGAGACACCGAGACAGACACTGCAATGGTCTCTCTTGTAACCGCTCCTGATACTGATTTGCTTCAGTCCTTCCCCTGTTACGCTCCATGCACTTAAACTGCTTGCTGCCTGAGAACTGTGTTTACAAGAAAGCTGTTTAAAAATAAGGGTATGGAGAACCAGCATAGTGTAATTTAGGCAGATTTTGAAGAGATCTAAATAAAATAAGAAGGTTCTGGCTGCAATGTGTAATTCCAAACTCACTTGTCAGAAAGTGATATGGAACATGAAAGACCTGCTTGTGGTGTTCAGACAGATCCTGTGCAGAATAGTTGCAGCAGCTCTTACTTCCCTGATTTGGTAAAGAACGTGCTGGAGGATGGAAGAACAAGTGAGATGAGAACATGACAGTAATGAAAGTCTGGAACGTGAGCAAGTGCAGAATAGTTGCAGCAGCTCTTACTTCCCTGATTTGGTAAAGAACGTGCTGGAGGATGGAAGAACAAGTGAGATGAGAACATGACAGTAATGAAAGTCTGGAACGTGAGCAAGAGAAAGGTCAAGTATTTCAGTTACTCCTGAAAATCCTGTATTTCACTACACGCAAGCACTAGCAAAAAAGCAGCCTTGATCCATGAATGGGATGCTTAATTTTTTTTTTACTAACACCTGCCAATCCTTTAACAAACTCTATGGCAAAGCCAAGTGATTTTTGTCTTACATCATATGTATTTTTTGAAGATGAATAAAGGGTATCTCCTAAGCCTCCTTTGGCTGTCACACATAGGCATTCAAAACTCTAAATAAAATCAAAAATATGATTTTATTATGGCCTTCTTCACTGTTCTAGCAGTTTTACCCTTTCTTTAAACTTGAAAGTGTTTCCAGTGTACCAAAACCCCCACAAAACTAAAAATCTGTGAGAAGATTACATTAAGAATATGAAAACATAAGGTCTGCAGATTTTGCACTCAGAGATTACTTGTTGGATTTATTTATATGTAACCAGACCTGGATATCCAGGGAGCTCCACTGTAATGACATACCCTTTGGGATTCACAGACTTACGACTGCATGCAAACAGAACTAGATCTTCCCATGGAATAAAGTGAGAGAGAAGAGGAAGAATTTGTTGCTTGTAAAGAGAAAGGCAGTGTATGGTGAAATAAGGAAATGAGGGTGTGACAGCTGTGCAGCAGCTGGGGACTGCTGTGGTAAAGATGGTGTTGGCTGGAAAGAAGGAAAGGTTGTGCCACAAGGGCATTTACAGGAGGAATCACACTACCTGTGACTGCTACAGATTACTGTGTGAAGGGTTCAGGCTGGTTTGTGGTGTCTCTTCCCTTCCTCTTTGGTCAGATGTGAAGTGTCTGTAACCTTCTCTCAGTAACAAAAGCATGTGTAAGCTATTCTCGCTTCTGACAAGAAGTTCAGAATAGCACTAATAACAACTTACAACATCTGTGAAGTCTTATGCTTTGAGGCATTCATGGCATTACATTAATATTTCTGGCAAGCAAATTAGTTGTCAAGTGTTACTGTCCAAGAAAAAAGATAATTTATTTTGCTCTGTTTTGGTTTCCTCTGTAGTTAGCTAAATTAGTTGTCAGGTGTTACTGTCCAAGACAAAAGATAATTTATTCTGCTCTGTTTTGGTTTCCTCTGTAGTTAGCTAATTCTAGTATCTAACCAAATGTCTAACCAAACTATAGATAAAGATGTCTCAGCTGTCAAAAAGAGCAGGCAAGTCAAAAATATTGACGAGTCCTTTAAGAACGATGAGAGTTAACTAGTGGGTTGAAATTGTGTAATTTTCTCCAAAACAGGATAGAAGATTCCTGTGGTGTGGGACAGATTTGGATCAATATGTCTCGGTAATACTGAGATCTGAAAAATGTTATCCCAGGATTCCTAGAGAAGATTAGCTCTCAAAATGTGTATTTTTAACTCCTCTACTCTCTATTTTCTTTTCAGATGTTTTTCAAAAGGAAGGGTTTAGTGGGATAAATCTTTGTTTCCAGAATGCACGAGCTGTAGACTGATGTGGGCAAGAAAGGGGCTGTTTAGCTGCAGATGAACCATTCTGCAGTGGCTTTTTTCTCCCTCACTCTAAATGAGGTAGTCAACATGCTGAAGCAGGCAGTGAGAGAATTTGGCTCTAGCATTTTAATAATTCTGGCACTACATTTTTAGAGAAGCACATTTTTAGGGAAAAGGCCATCATTCAAAGCAAAATGGTAGCTTTTTATGTGGCCGTGCCATCTGAGGGGAGTACCTTTGCAGTGTTCTTGGTGGAACAGAGTAACTGACACTAAGTTGCTTGCTGAGGAGAAAAAGGAAGTAATGAAATTCATGACCCTGAGTCCAATTAGAATGCAAAGGGATTAAAGGAATCAGGATCCAAACAAAGAGGATCTGATCAATCCTAGCAAAAGCTGTCAAAAATATCTTTTTCACAACATCAGAAGTGGCTCATGATGTGCTATGTCCAACATAAAACCTCCTGGAAATGGAGAAAAATTAGATCCTATTTTCATATGTTAAGCCAGATTTGCCAGAACAATTTACAGATGTTGGTTTGTCTGCCTTTATCACAGTACATTGCTAAATATAGGGCATTCAGCAATTTCTTCCTGTTTATACCATGCTTTGCACATTGCTGGTTGCATTACTGTTTGCTCCTTTCATAAACTTCCTTCTTTTGTGTCTGGTCCCAGCTGACACCAAGGTCTAACAAGGCCAGAGAGAGCAGCTACATGTGCTTCAGGGTAATATTATGAAATCTCTTTAGGTTGAAACTGTTTGTTTCAAGCTGATACAAATGTAACAAGTAATCTTGATTAGTAAAATGTAATTTTATGAACCCTAAATATTTTGCCCCATTTTTTTTTTCACTTTTAACTAGCTGTGTTTTCCATCCTTTCTTGGCCTTTGCCAATGTCCTTCATAGTTCTTCTGTATCAAAGATTTGTGCTGCGCAGCAACTCCAATAAGACCACAAATAATATGGAATAAAGGCAGAAGGATTGTTCGTCTTCAGTACAAGTGCAGTGAAATCAGTATCATGAGGTATAAGCAAATGCTCAGCTTTGTACCCTGGCCATGAGCACTGCGATAGCCTGTGCATCACTGCTTCTTATTTGGGTGAGGAACTTTGGTTCGAGGAAAAGCTGATGCAACTCTGGGAGTCTCAGAGAAAAGGTGGTGAGCTATACCTGGGTCTTGTCTGTACCAGCTTTTCCACACTGTTGAACAGCAGTGGCAGATAGAGGCATCAGGTTTTCCAGTGGTCCAAGTTGTGCATTGTTGCAGCCCATTATCGGGGTTCAATGGGAGGTGGGAAATGGTGCCACAGGCAGCAGTGGCCAGAGGCTGCCCATTAGGGACCACCTGAGTGGGTTGCTCCATCTCACACGGCCACCCGCCGCCACTCTGGTGGAGAAAACCCCCTTGGTCCTTCTCCCTGGGTGGGCACTAGGGGATTCAGGTTGTTCCCTGGAGGCTCATGGAGCAAGAGTTGAAGGTCTAGTTTTTCTGGGGATAACAGGGTAATTCACTGCAGTTGTAGGGTACATGAAAATAAAGGGGTTATGATGAATTCTTGTCATGTTCTGAAACAAAATACACATGAAGAACAACAGTTAATAGGGCTTTCCAAAAAGACCTTGTCATTATTTCCACTCTACTCTCTTCATAGTTTCTTAAGCATTTTTAGACATAGAAAATAGATTTCCAAGCAACAAAGGAAATTGTTCATCCTAAACAAGTCCTATATCTTTTTCATCCTTCTGTCTGATACTGTGATCCATATCCACTGATTGAGAGCTAAACAAGCAAAATTAAATGCTATTCTAGTGTTCTGAGCCTCCATCTTACCACTGTCATGTAAAAATTTGATATAGCCATAAAATGTTCTCGATGACTCCTCATCACTAAAGGCACCTCCATTTTTTTCTGCTAAGTCTGCTGCTGAGCAGATTTAAAACACTACTCTGCCCATTCTAACAATCAAATATATGCAGTCTGTTCTCTGTGCTATTACAACTTGGTAGAATTAACAAAAGCAACACTAATTCCAGCGGTATTATGTAACAATGACATCAATGTACCACAAGCCCTGTGTTTTTGATGTTAAAATACAAAATAATACTTTCTTTTTTCTTTGAGCACAATTTAAAGACATTAGGAAGTCAGGATTCCCACACCATAATAGCAGGTGCTGTCTGAGTCATTGAATTTAGTCCCAGCAACAAGCACCAATTTAGTAGTTTGTTCTGGGGGATTCTGCTCCTGGCCCTGATACACACCATGGAGCAGAGCGTAATCCAAAATCCCACTTCAGACACAAACTTCAGACCACAGCAAAAGAGCAAAAAGAAAGGACTTGTGGAAGGTATTGCCATGGCCCTGGATCCCTGAAATGGTGATGACTCCATTAAATTAAATTTTCACATTGCCATGGGTACATACCCCATTCCACACCAGGCAGCAAAGGACTCTAGCAGTTCCTACAGCAAAGGCATATAGGGAACCTGCTCTTTCATCTGCTGCAGAATAAGAAACTAGCATATGAATTTTGAGACAGGCAACTTAATTGAAAATAGATCAATCAGTGATTAATGCATCAGCAGGTGTGAACTGGCAAATTACTACTGGAATGAATGGAAATGTATTTCTAGGCACCTACATCCACTGAGAATTTTGCTGTTTATACCTTTTTACTCTTTAGAATAATCAAACATTTCAGAGACCTAGACTTTACTCTGAGAAATTCTATTCTATTCTATTCTATTCTATTCTATTCTATTCTATTCTATTCTATTCTATATTTATATAATATATAATCTTTAATATACATTATATATATTAAAACATGGCTTTGGGAGACTTTTCAAGCCCTTTTATCTACTTCTTTAGGGACTGGGGAAACAGACATACAGATATGATTTGATTTGAAGGTCACAACCTATTTCAATTGTCGTTGCTTATTGCTAGAGCACATGCTTTTAAATAGCAAAGACTTTTTATTGAAAAACAAAACAAAACAAAACAAAAACACCAAACAAAAAAAACCCCCAAGTACAAATGCCAGATTCTGCACCTGAGACAAAGTACAAGTATAAATAGGGAGAGGAGTGGCTGGAGAGCAGCCCCGCAGAAAGGGACCTGAGGGTGCTGATCAGCAGCAGGCTCAATGGGAGTCAGCAGCATGCCCTAGCAGCCAGGAGGGCAAACCACATCCTGGGTGCATCAAACACAGCATACCCACATGGTTAAAAGATGTGATTATCCCACTGTATTTAACGTACGTGCGGCCTCACCTTGAGTACGGCGTGCAGTTCTGGGCCCCGCAATTTAAGAAGGATGTGAAGGTCCCTGAATGCGTCCAGGGGAGGGCAACACAGCTGGTGAAAGGGCTGGAAGGCACATCCTATGGGAGTGGCTGAGGACTTTGGGTTTGTCTAGTTTGGAGAAAAGGAAGCTGAGAGGTGACCTTATTGCTCTCCACAGCTTCCTGCGGAGGGGGAAAGGAGAGGGAGGTGCTGATCTCTTCTCACTGGTAGTGTACAGGAAAATTGGGAATAGTTAACAGCTGCACCAGGGGAGGTTTAGACTGGACATTAAGAAGCATTTATTTACAGAGAGAGGGTGTGCAAACCCTGGAACAGGCTGTCTTGAGAGGTGCTCAATGTCCCATGACTGTCAGTGTTTAAGAGGCATTTGGATGGTGCCCTTAATAACATGCTTTAACTTTTGGTTGACCCTGAAGTGGTCAGGTAGTTAGACTAGATGATCATTGTAGGTCCCTTCCAACTGAATAGTCCAGTCTATTCCGTTCTGTTCTGTTCCGTTCTGTTCTATTCTATTCTGTTCTATTCTATTCTAAATATAAATGGAATTCCATTCCATTCTAAATATATCACCTAAGTCCCTGATTAATTTAACACATTTTTAGTACTTGATGGCTCTTCATCCCTTCTTCCACAGAAGACAAAGCAGTTGACATTCTGCATAAGAACTGGACCAGGCCAATTTGCCTGCTAATTTAACCCCATTGACACTGTAGAGCTATCTACAAAGTTTCAAAAGGCTTCTTCTGGCTTTCTGCAGGAATTTTTTATTTTAGTTTGAACTGCTCAGAAAATAATGGGGTATTTCAGAGGAAAATTTTGGCAAGTATTACGCTTTGAAAATTTTATTTCAGCACCAGGTGAACATGCTGCCTCAGCCTCATCTAGATGCTCACTTTCAGAGATTTTCAAAACGCCATTGTTCCAATCCTTTGCTCTCCAATCACTGCTTTTTCTTCTGTTGAAAAGACATTATAGTTTTTCTTCTGTTGTAAAGAAATTATTGTTTTCCCTTTTTCTTTAGTTACATCTCATATTTACCAGCTGTGCACTTCAGCTTATTATAAATATCCTTTCTAGTATCTGCACAAATAGAAATGAAGTGGAAAGGCTAGGGTGACTGGTTGCTGTTTAAGAGACAATAAAATGTTTTTTCCTATAGAGAAATGGGGCCAGTAGAGAAATGGCATCTGGAGCAAAAAGAGGATTTTATATTCTATAAACAAAATTTTCAATAAGTCATAACTGTTCCTTGCATACCTATCCAGAGGGTTAGGAGCTGAACATCTGAGGATTTTCAAAACAAGTGACACGCTGAAGTACCGAGCATGATTTTCAGATTTCCACCTTTGCTGCAGTACTGAGTGAAAACTCTCACTAGCTGCAGATAATCAGATTGCATTCGCTCATGAGGCTAAAATTACTACAGACTAATTTAGAGATAATCTATTACAAGGCGTAGCATCAGGGACCAACATCATCTCTCAGAAACTGACATCCTGATCACTTATATTCAATCTCTATTTTAGAGGTAATGTCAGTGTCATTGAGTCTTATCAAAGGCCAAGATCTCTGTAAATGGTGAGTCAAAATGAGATTTTCTTTTTTTAAGGATTTTGAAGGATAATCCTTTTTGAAGGATTACGTACTGCCCAGTGACAGTCTTTTACTCTCTTATGTTCTGAATGACTAATTTTCATCTAATTATTGTATTTGATAGATTTGTACTACCAGATACACTGCACTGTACTGAGCTACTCATTCCAATATGCCTAAGGCTACTGCTTTAAACAGGATTTCAGAAGCATAGGTACTAATACTTTTTCTGGGGGGTGGAAGACAAGAGAATTCCTAGAACTCCCTATCATCTCCCATTTTCTTTCCACATAAAGTGCTAATGCAGCTCTTCAAAATACTGATGAGCACACCAGCCTGTTTTGATTGTTGGTTAGGGCCTAGCCATCTACAAAGTCTTCTGTTGGCTCCTAGGGGCACAGAAGATACATAATTCTCAGAGGAGCTGGTCCTTAAGAGTATGTCAATATAGTAAATAAACATGCATGTGTAGCAGAGAAACCTTTGAAGGGCTTTGGCAGGGAAGAAATGGGTCAGAGCTGTAGAGAGGGGCTATAGGTCCCTCTTGGTGGGTCAGCAAGTGTGTCCAGCTTCCAAAATACCATGCTGCAACTCAGCTAGTTTTAACCCAGCTGCCACTGATTAGTTGTGAAGATCTGGCAACACAGCTTGCACCGTGGACTAACAATGTACGTGCTTCTTACCAGGAGCTACATAACCTGCTCTGAAGTCCACACTGGCAGGTCTTTACTCTTACTCACTTTCTGCTAAATAGGACAAAGCTACCCTTGATATTTACACATGCCATTTTTGCATGATATAGAGATGTAATTTCAATGGTAGGTATTGACAACCAAGGAAAAATCAGGAGGATTTCTGGATTATGTTGATGCTAATAAAACTGCTTTTATTTCTTTTTTTTTCTTCAATGTTACTGGAAAGAGAGTGTTTAGAACAGATACACAAAGGTAATTATGGAGCATGTATTTAGGCAGGTGTCTAGACTGCTACTAAAATCAAGAGGAATTTAGACACTTTTACAGGAATTTTTGATGACTTCAATCCTTCTAGCATGTGCATTATACGAGTGAGTGGTGAAACAATTGGCTGCTTTTTTCTCCTCTCCATCCTTCAGTGCATGGGGTGAACCTGTTCGCAGCTGTGTAGAAGAAATTCTAGTTTTTTTACAAAAGTTCTTAGAAGATCTCTTGTGAACAGGGCAGGAATAGAAGTGATGGCTGCATAATTACAATAAGTAAATATACATCGGCCCCTGCCTCTGCTGCAAAGCTGTTCTATGATAGCCAAGTTGCTTTAAACTTTCCACAGGTAAGTCATTACCTCTATGTTCTTTACTCTTGCTTGCCTGACTTGAGACATCTCTGAATGTTCAGAAGTTCTGAGCATTCACAAATGCAATCAAAGTCCCTAAAAGCAAACTGTTGCGCCTTCAGAGTACTACCGGTTAGCTCCTGTACTGTGAAAAATCAGTCCTAAAGTGGAAGCAGGCATTAATCTTGCTAAATTTTGTCTTTGCCTTTGTGATCAGTAGTATTTGCTTCATAGAGGTGCTACAAGGTTAATTCGTGTTTGTGAAACAGACCATACAGTGATGAACACCAGAAGCCTATGAGGATATTAACCCTCTTTGCTTTAGCGCAAGATTCGAGGAGTGTGCAGAGAATGTTATTCTTGGCTTACTAACAGAGAAGCTTGAGATGCTGGGTTAATCGTTTCTGGTCTTCTGCCTCAACAAAAGATAATTACATTATTGCCTTGGATATTTAGCTCTTACTTTTTTTCTCTCCCCAGTAAATTAGAATGCAAAAGATTTGGAATGAATGTTCCACAATACTTTGGCTTTTCTAAGGAAAGAACAGTGTGAGTGATTGCTGTTTTCCCAGGTAGACATGAAGTAGCAGCAGCTTCTGCCTTCCTCAAGCCTTTGAACATAACAGGATCTCCAGTCCCGTTTGAAAGGAAGTAGTTATTACTTGACTCTTGAAAGTAGCTTACACTCCGTCTTAGAAAGAAGGTCTAACTGTAGTCAGAAAAACATCTGAAGTTCAGAGAGCTTTCTGAGATCTAAGAGACAGAAAATGTTGGTAAAGGCAACTTCCAGGAAATCAGGATCAAGACAAAGTGTATTTATAATTATTTGACTGCTTATTTAGATTACTTCATATTCCACAGAAGGCATGTCTTTGCTTGAAGTGCTGCTACGTGCATCTTCAAGTTAGTACAAACAGTACAGTTAAGTAGTACAGTTAAGTAGATTATTCCCAGAGCCCAATGGTTTACATAGATAGCAATTTGGCAATGCCCTTAAGTATATGTTTAATTATAATGGCAGAGTCTAATATTTAGATATCCTGACACCTAGTGGAATTTATTGCTCCAAGCAGAATATCTGGGTTCATCTTCCTGTATGGTGACTGGGGAAATGAAGGAAGTTAAGTATCCCATTCTTTGATACAATAGCAAGATACTCACCTGGACAGCTGCCTAACCAATGCATTAGATAAAATGTGAAAAAAGAATTTGGCTTGAGCCCAGCCTCTTTCAGAGACAGACTCACAAAGCTGGTTACAAAGTGATGCAAGGTCCCTGAACTGGTTTCTGGTTTTGAGCTTGGAAAGATTTTCTAGTGACAGATGTAGAAAGATCCAAGCACTTTGGATTCAGAGTGTCTCAAAAGGGATTTGAAACTGCATCTTCTATGGGTACTCTGTAACTGGCAATTAACTAGCAAGTTGAGAGTGGCCATGTTTTCACCCATTTTCCATCATGCCTTTCTGTGTTGCATGGGACAATTCAGCCTTTGATGGACTGAAGATGGCAACAATATATGAATCCATGGTGAAATGGGAATATAGGGGAACATCTGGAGTATAGAGTCATGTCTCCTTTCACAAGCTGGCTAAGCTGTCTCTCCAGGCTTGATATTGGATAGCAATACAACATACTTGGTATAGTATAGGTATTCCTATTTCCTGCTATTGCTATTTCAAATATGTTCCAGAACCTGTTTTTCTCCCCCCTCTTTTTTTTGCTTTGTTTGTTTTGGGTTTTTTGTTTTGTTTTGTTTTAACCTGGTGACAGTATTGCATTTAGTTTATTTAAACTACTGATTTTAATTCCTGTGATCTGAACAAGGCAAAATCTTTTAGTGTCTTCTCAGAAGGCAGGATCTAGTTCCTTTTTGTGCATCTGTTTCAGTTTAAATATATATTCCTTGAACATGAGTATTCTGCAAGCAAGGACAGATATAGTCTCATCATGATTTGTCCAGTAGCTTTTTACATGTCTATATATACTGGAATACTTTGGCTGATACCTTACAAAATCATATAAACATTATGTGAATTTTAATGGCTTTATCACATTGGTATTATATGTAAGTATTTATTACTCTGTATAAATGTATCATCCCACACTTTGCACTAATTATTAATCTAGGCCTTGAAATCATTCTGTTTTCCCTGACTGATTTTAGAATCATAGAATCGTAGAATGGTTTGGGTGGGAAGGGCCCTGACAGATCATCTGGTTCCA